CACACACACACGTGTGTACATACACACAAAAACACACATACATACACACCCATACGCATACAGACAGACACACACACACACACACACACACACACACACACACACATACACACACACACACACACGTACAAAACTCACGCACATACACACTTTCTATTACACACGTACAAGGAACTGATCGTCAGTTCCTTTGCTCTACCACCACTTATTATGCAGATATACCCGCACCATTCACCGGATGAGCCTCACCGTTTGATGCGACAGCCGGAATTCGACAATTCCCAGGCCTTGATGTATAATTATTTCCCCCTGTCAGAGCAGTTGTCAGCCATAGCGAATGTGTCATTCTGTACGCGAGGAGAGAAAGGTGTAAGAAAAAGAGGCATGGTTTTAGTTTTAGTAGAGGTTTTATGGTGCTCGCAACTGCATTACACGTGTTACAAGAGAGTAAAAAGCATAAAAATGAAGAAGAGATAAGGACGATACATGTTTCGTGGGAAAGAAGAAGCAAACCACACCAGAGCACCCGCCAACCACCCACAGAGGCATGGTTTGTCGGTCCTGTGTGTGTGCATGTATTCAGAGAGAATCATCCTTATTGATCTAAAGGCTGTTGAGTTCACTTTTTGACATAGATAGATAAACGTGTGGTAGGATCACACACACGCACACATTATGGGTGGTTGGCGGGTGCTCTGGTGTGGTCTGCGTCTTCTTTCCTATCAAACATCTATCTCCCTTATCTCCCCTTCTTCTTTTTTATGTTTGTTACTCTCTTGTAGTACCTCTAATCTTCTGGCGCTCATATGACTTTATGCAGTTGGAAGCGCTGTAAAACCTCTACTAAAACTAAAACCTCTCTCACACACACAATCACACACGCACGCGCACACACACACGCACACACACACACACACACATACGCACACGCGCACGCACGGAAAAAATCCCACTAGGACAAAACAGTATCATCCTATCTTATCTTATCTCACGGTAGGGTTTGTCTTTTATGCCTCGTTTAACTCTGTAAATGCTTGGGTTGAAAGGCGCCGCTGGTAGGTTCTATTTCATTTCTTTTTTATCTAAAGTTTTTGTCTTCTCTATCTTGCTCCTTCTCTGTACTATGCTGGTACTTGGTGGTGCCGTATTGTGGTTTGCTCCTTCTTTCCTATCAAACATCATTCTATTGACCTATTCTGTCCTCCTTCTTTTTTGTGTATGTTACTCTAGAGTAACACCTCTAATCTTTAGCTCGTATATGACCTGTGTTAAAAATGCCGTAAAGATTTAAAACTTAAAATGTCTTATTCTTTCCCTGCACTAAATGACTTTTCTAGTATCAACATACTTCTGTTTACTCAAACAAAAGTAAACCAACAAACAACATTATAATGCAGAAGATTTTCCATCTACTTTAGTTGAAGATGATTTTGAATATCCAGATGGCTACTGTTTAACATCCATCTTCAATAGGACAGAAATATTTGTACGAGGTTTCGGAAAAAATCCCAAATACGCACTCGAAATTCGTGGATGCCCCGATATTCGAACCAGAGTCAATGATTTACAGTGCCATATGTTATTATCTTACCTGACTCATACTTGTTTTTTTGTTTTTTTTAATAATCTTTTCAGGGGTTGGTTTGAACATTTTTTGAAAACTTTCTGTAGAAACTGCGTTGTGGGTGGTTGGCGGGTGCTCTGGTGTGGTTTGCTGCTTCTTTCCTATCAAACATCTATCCGTCCTTATCTACCCTCCTTCTTTTTTATGTTTGTTACACTCTCTTGTAACACCTTCATTCTTCGACACTTCTATAACATTACTGTGTTGCAAGTGCGTAAAACTCTTACTAAAACTTTTTAAAATGCGTGAAAATTGGGTAAGACCCGGGATATGACCCTTTTCTGTTTAAGAACTATTGAATTTTGTGGGATGTTATTCTCTGGATTCCCTGCGTTTTCTGTGTGAAAATAAGCCTGCGCGTCGTGCACACCAAAGATCTGACTTGGATTCTTACTCGAAAAAGTATTTTTATTTTATGTTTTTTAAATGCATCCACTCTTCCACTGGGACACTGTAGCCCAATAACTGCTTGGGATAGCCGTTGCAAAGAGGGTCGGCGCTCTACCACGTCTCTAAGATGGTCTAACTTGTTTTGATGGGGGCGTATAACATTGGCAATTGTCAATGATACAAGTACACATCTACTGTACTGGTATCATCCTTGGTGACAAAGACTACTTCAGTAGGAAAAAAAAAGAAGTAACAATAAATAGAGTTGCATTTGTTTAGCGCATATCCACGCTCTACATCATTGTCCATATGCTTAAACTAGTCTCTGTCCAGTTGCTCTTTTTCTCTAGCGGCGTCTGTTGTGTGGTGCTTACGAGTTTCCCCGTCTATCGAAAAAGACCTGAATTTAGCTCTCATGTGGGAAGAATTTTCATCGAGTGTCTCGAGCTTTCTATTGAGACTATTTATCTCTCTCAATCTGGGTTGGCCCTGACAGGCAGAGTCGAAGCCTGCCTCCTAAATATCTTAATTTTGTCGATGGGGTCGTAAAAACAAATACAATGTACATTTATCCTTAAAAATCATCTTCTTTATCCGAGTCCTCCATCCCTCACTGTAATTCTTATGTTGTGGAGGCATCGAAACTGTGTCCAATTTTACATTTATTTGTCTATTCGTGTCCGCTGCCATTTTGTGATTGATCGCTAATTTCCTCCGATCAAAAAAGAAAAAAAAAGAAAAGAAAAGAAAGGGACTTTCTAATGAACAAACGACGAACGTGCATTTCTTTCGATTGTGCTTTTCAGTTTATGCTATGTGTGTATGTGCCCGTGTGTGCATTGTTTGCCTGTATGTGTCTGTTTGTACGAGGTTGTGGGTGTGTGTGTGTGTGTTTGTGTGTGTGTGTGTGTGTTTGTGTGTGTGTGAGTGTGTG